TGTGCACTGTGAGTGTGCACAGTTCTCATCAATGCTTTTTGGGGTGTGTCAGCTGTAGGTAAAGGGGTAACCCACTGGCTGTTAAGGCCAAAAAGACTTGAATGTGTGGAGCATCAGGGCTTCTAACACTGGGCTGGCTGTTTGGCTTGTCTACCATGGGCTGGGCAGTGCTAGACATGTCCAGGCTGGGTTGTAGCTACTGAGCACTCTTAGCTGCTCTTTTGAGTCTGGGCCACCAAAGCAAGTGTTGAAGTAAGGGATTGTCTGTCTGTGTGCTGTGTGTCCTGGAAAGGAGAGACTTTGACAAGGCAAGGAAGGTCTGCTTGCCAGCCCTGACTATAGCAGGTCCATTCCAGGTGTTTGTTACCACTGAGCACCAAAATCCCATGCACCCTCCCATCATCAGATTCTCCTGCAGCCCATTTCTGGACCAAGCATTGGTCAAATCAGGGACGTCATGGAGGCATAGTAAGGCCCTTGGCACCGGTGTGAGGGTACAACACACAGCCTAAATCTCTGTGCAGACCTGGGTTTTTGTTTTGTCTGTTCTCATGTCTAGGAGGAAAAGCAGGAAGAGAGGAAAAACTCTGTGGGAGACTCTGCCATGAGCAATCTGGAGGCTGAGGCGTGGAATGGGAGCCAGCACGGTATGGAGGGCCAGGTGGGCGGTGGGGTCAGTGCTCCCACCATGGCTGGGGGATCCCACTGTGGGGCTAGACCATTTTGTTGCTCCAGCAGAGTCAAACACCCAGTGCAACGCACTGGTACGTGTTTCTGAAGGCTTGTGAGCTCCTCTGCTTGCTTGATCCTGCTCTCTCTATCTCTTTCCATTTCTCTCCTTTCCTCTCTTTCTCTCCGTGGGAAGGGTGCACCCCTACAGATATGGCTATGTTGGCTTCAGGCACTGGCGGGTGCTGTACAGTACTGTCCCTCCCCTCAGGAGCTAAATTTGTTCCTGGCTCGTGGATACCGTGTTTGCTCTCAGAGACACTATGCTGAGCGATAAGAGGACTCTGCGCCATGTGTGGCTTTGCCCTCCTGTGGGATGGACTTACGGGGAACTTCCCTCATGTCATCAGGAGCTCACAAGTTTGGGACCTGCTCCTGTAGGTGTGGTGCCACTGAAGCCATGTGATTTGGGGTTGTCTTATCTTGCGGGGATCTATTCCTGGATTGTATCAGAGATCTCAAAAGCAGAGCTGTCAACAGGGAGGAGGCAAGCTGAGGAAGGCAGTGTTTGCTTGGTTGTTGTTTTGCCAGCAGTGTGATGGGGGTGAGGGGGAAGGAAAACTTGGGGAAATAATGAAAATAAACGTTTATGGGAAACCTTTTGTCTTTGAGTAGTGAAAGGTCATATTCAAAATATTTTTAAAATGAAAATGTTCTAACTTCACAGTCTTCTCCATAGCCATGTGCAGGCACAGTGGCAGGGGCCAGGTGTCATTAATCCCTGATGTAACACTGAGTTAACCACTGTTAAAAAGGAATCTCATACGGCTCGTCTTCTGAGCCCAGAGCATGTAACTTCCCTGCTGCATACAAGTAAGTAGTGCTGCACACAAGTAAGCAGTGCTGAGCCTTGTTGTTTCAGCATTTTATTTTCTCTTATTATAGAAGTACATCCACAAAGAAAATACATACCTGGATGCTTCAGTGCAACATTGTCAGTGTATGCTCTGTCTCCTGGTGTATTTGTCATTCTCCAGAAGTGCAGAGCTTGTACTCACAGATTCCCCAGCCATGCCTAGCACTTTTTCTATGCCCCAAAGAATACTAAAGGTGTTTATAACTCTGAAATATCAGCGAAGCACCTGGGTTAGTCACTTTGCTCACTGAAGCTCAGCTTTAATTTCTTCCATAAGTTTTTATTTTTTCCTTCTCCACTTCCCCTATGTGCAAGGGAGGAATGGGTTTAGTCTGTTTTTTCCGTGCATTTCTGGCCTGTCCTACATGAGGCTGTGTGCCATGGCTGACCTGTAGCTGTGATTTCGTCAGTGCTGGAATAGGCACAGCACTCCTGGAGTCCCTTCAGGTGCTACAAAATAGGGAGAGAAAGTGGTTGGAGAGCAAGAAACTTGGGTTATGTCTTGTGCCTCTGCCGAGGCCTTTGTGACCTTCTCAAAGGCATGAAGGGTCACCTCCATGCCTGTGGAGTCTGTCTTCTTTTTGGGTAAATGCATCTCTAGGGCATCAGGGTGGCCCTGATGTGTCAGGTTGTTGCATCAGAGCAGAGGACAGCAGAGCTGGCAGATGAGCCCACTGCTGGTTTGACTGGCTGGGAGCCGTTTGCAGCTGGGAATGATTCCCAGATCTCTGCATGGATCCTGCTGGTTGTCTCAAATCCATCAGTGCTGTGGACATATCAGATGTACTGGCTGGAAGAGGACCTGGTTGCAGAGGTGTCCTGATGCTTTGCCCAGGATGGCTTGTCCCTCAGGCTCCTTAGAATCATGAAATAATTAAATAGTTTGGGCTGGAAGGGATCTTGAAGCTCATCTCATTTCAACCTCCCTGCCACGGGCAGAGGCACCTTCCACTAGACCAGGTACCTTACTAGGACATGGTACAGTGACAGAGGACATTCAGGGCATGGAGACTCCTGGTTCTGTCCTTCCTCGCACACTGGCCAAGTTTGCTGGAGAAGAGGTGGTGATAGGATGGTGCTGAGCTTCGCAGGGATGCAGGACTGTGTGTGAGAGCGGGATGGCCCCAGTGGGACCCGCCTGCCCTCGGCACTGCCTGGAGGCAGCAGGGCTGGGGCTCGAGCAGCCTCTCAGCAGCGTTTGTGTGCGTTTGTGCTGCGCTCAGGTGCCAGTGAGGAGAAGAAAGAAGGCTGGTCTTGGGCGTCCTACTTGGAGGAGCAGAAAGCTGTCGCTGCCCCTTTAGATCTCTTCCAGGATGTGAGTTGGGATTTTCCTGTCTTTTTCCCTCTTTCATCTTCTCTGTTCTTTCCCTTCCCTCCCACCCCCCTGCCTCCTCCTTCTCCTCTCTTTTTTGCTTTCGTATTTTGTGGGATTGGGCAATATCAAGCTCCCGTTGCCACCTGGAGGTGATTGGTCATCTGATTTGCCTGGAGTCCCACTCCCCAGCAGGGTGCTGTTCCCCATCCCAAGCACCCCACCTTTTCCTAGGACACCCCTGTGACTCTGGCATTGTGGAGCCTTTCCAGCCCTTCCTGGAAGCCAGGTGTGGTCTCTCCTGAGGCCACATTGCTGTGCTGCACCCCTGCTCCCAGGCGTCCAACTGCCAGGGTGCCCCACTCCCCCAGCTGCGGCTTTTAGCCCGGGGGCACTGCCAATAGCAAGAGATGCAAACCCACAAGGAGGTAGAACAATGTGTTTTTCTATGGGAAAAGAATTAAAATTTGGATGACAACATAACCTGTGGCCCATAGTCTCCTGGTCCCAGCAGCTCCCATTGCCTGGTGGTTGCTCCTCAGGCTGGTTCTAGACTCAGCTCCCTGCGTTGGTTTTTACATTGTAGTTTAATTTTTGTTTCCAGTACCAAGTAGCTTCCCAGCACAAGAATGGCTTTAAAGTGGGGATGAAGCTGGAGGGGATTGACCCACAGCACCCATCTATGTACTTCATCCTGACCGTGGCTGAGGTAAGGTGCCTCCCATGTTAGTGGGTTCTTTGGGGCAGGGAAGGTGCTGCCACCTGGTCTGTGGAAGAGATGGGGTTGGTGCCTTTGCCTGCCTGTTGCTGCAGGAGATGAGCTGGTGCTCCAGCATCTCAGACAAACAAACAGGGAGTTCTCTGCCAGCTCACAGGGACAGGACACAGCGCCATGGAGCTGCTGTCATGTCCTGGCCTAGTTGGTCTCTCCATCACCCTGACACAGCAGGTCATGAGAGGAGGGGTTGTGGTGATGGCAGCAGCTTCTTATCTTTGAGCTGATGCCCCTAGGACATTCCCTTGAGATGGAATGTGTGGAGGCATCCCATTGCTCTTCCTTGTGTCTGTGTGGGCTCTCCACTCAGCCATGTAATAGTCAAACCAGACTCGCCTCGCAGTGCTTCCCAGGCAGCCAGCATGGCATTTAGCCAAAATCTCTGGACCAGCAGATTCCCCAGGTGCAGAAAACGGAATCTTTGCACTTGCTGGATCCAGCAAGTTGCCCCACCATGATATTTTGTGCACCAACCTGAACATCCCTTCTTCGGGCTGGCTTGTGCTGGCCTTGCACTGACCTTGTTCCGGGCTGGGCACCCTTTGGTGCTTGTGCCTCCTGCTTTGGGCACTGGCCTGTGGTTGACTCTTGGCTTCTCAAGGCAATATAAGCTGAGATGGTGTGTGGGAGGGGTGGGGCATGTGATGCTCAGCCAGGTAGAGCAGCAGGTTTCCATGATCCTTTCCCTTTCCCTGCTGGTAGGTGTGTGGTTACCGGATGCGCCTCCACTTTGATGGCTACTCCGAGTGCCATGATTTCTGGCTGAATGCTGACTCCCCCGACATCCACCCTGCTGGTTGGTTTGAGGAGACAGGGCACAAACTCCAGCCCCCCAAAGGTAAGGAGTTGCCTTGTCTTTGGGTGCTGGGTCCTGATGAAGGAGGGTGGTGAACAGTAGGGGCAAATGTACAGTGTCAGGTGGGGATAGGGTGGCTCCATGGGGACCAGGAGGGATGCTGCTCAGATACTGGCCCAGGAGGGATACTTGGGGTGGGGGAGGGTTCCACAGGACAACCCGTGTCTTTCAGGCACCTGAAAGAGACAGACCTGTCTCTTCTTGTTCACATTTTGGGGCAAAGCCCTGTTGGATGTCCCATTGCCAGGCTGGAGTCAGCAGGCGGGAATGATTTTCTCTGTGCAGGAGCTGCACTATGGATTTCCACTGCTCACATTTCATAACACCCCTTCAAAACCAGCCATTGGGCCTAAGCCATGGGCTTTGGGCATCCCAGGGCTGCTGTGGATCCTCTTTGCCCACAGCAGGACATGCCTGCAGGATGACGACGGGTCAGGTATGGCCAGGCTCACCCTCATCACCTCCTGGCTGTGAACTCACTGCTCTCATTTCTCTTCCTGAGGGGTTGTAGGTTATAAGGAAGAAGAATTCAGCTGGACAAACTACCTGAAGTTAACAAAGGCTCAGGCAGCTCCTAAGCACCTCTTCTTAGTCCGAAACACTGTGAGTAGCAGCATCTCCTTCCTACCAGAGCCTACAGGTTCAGGTGTGAGTTTTCTGCTCCAGCTGAGCAAAATGCCTCCGCCAGCACTGGGCTTTGCTCTATTCACTCCACACTTCTCAAGCCTACAGCGCAGAGGGCCAGCAGTGTGTACTGCTGGCTGTGGCACACTTTGCTACTCAGGATCTGTAGCTTGGACACTAGTTTGGTGTGCCCAAAATTGGTGCTGGTCTGATTCACTGTTTTATCCAGGTTGGTCTGATGGACAGTTAAATCTGTTACAGAAGTATTGGTAAGGAGAAGTAACTGTTACTGTCAACAATTATTTTGCTAAAAAAAATCAGTTAATGTTTCATAAGTATAATTCTTTTGTCTCTATTAATGTGTGTTCATTGTTTATATGTCTGCCTATTTTTTTCACATGGAAGCTTGGTGAAGGGAAGTGGGAATGTAGCAGAGTGCAAAATGCTGATCATTTCTTTGTCAGCTGCAGAGGAAACTCAACCTACCGATAAATCAGCCTCTCTAAGTTATTTATTGTGTCTCAACCCTGCTGTTCATTGCTGCAACAATTCCACCAGTGTGTGATGCAGGATTTTACACAGATTTTGGATCCAAGAAATAAGGGCTAGGAAGGGAGAAGGACCCATCCCAGCTGCTCCTGCCATGTCTAGGGCATTGGTCACTGCTGACACTGAAGGACTGGGCCTGCCTGAAGGCCAGAGAGGGTCTGGTTTTGGGAGGGTTTGGGCAGGTGCCTCCTTGCAGCAGGCAAGGGAAGTGGTGAGGAAGGAGCTGTGCTGCAGCTTGCCCCTCTCTCCTGCCAGCACGAGGCTTCTTCCGGCTTTGAGGTGGGCAAGAAGCTCGAAGCTGTGGACCGCATGAACCCTTCCCTGATCTGTGTTGCCACAGTGACTGACGTGGTGGACAATCGCTTTTTGGTGCACTTTGACAACTGGGATGATACTTATGACTACTGGTAAGTGCACAGAGGCTCCTGGGGTACCAGTGGTGGAGAGACACCCTGCCACTGCTTCAGCAAGAGTGACGGGGTGCTTGGGAATGCATGGGACAATCCCAACGTGCTGCTGCAGAGAGGCCATGAGCGGACCAGGGAGGCAGAGGATCACCCTCCTGTGCTGGGGGATAAACCTTTACCTGTTCCATGTCACCTTGTGGAATGTTGCCATGGCTTGTAGCTGACATGGGGCAAAGACAGGCACGATCTCATGCTGTGGGCTCAGCCTGAAGCCCACTTGGGAGACAGAGTCACCTGCACTGCAGAGACTGAAGACCTGATCTTAAAAAGCAGCTCCTGCGCCTGTAGGCAGGGGACTGTGGCCAGGGTGGGGAGGTGTCCCAGTCGAGGCTGATTAAGGCCAGTTAAAATGGCCAGTTAGCACAGCCACGGTCCTAAGAACAGCTTCTTAGCTTTGTGGTTGGAGCCCTCTGACCTTCTCTTCTCACCCCAAGGGGCTGTGGGACTGCAGCAGGTTCTGTCCCCCGTCTGGTGCTGGGCAGCTGCCTGCTCTATCCCAGGGCAGACCTGCAAAGCAGTATCTCCTGAGGGCGCTGTGACTGCTGTGACTGACTGGGAGCCATGCTGGGGACATGAGCCCACCCAACTACCCTTGTCTCACTGCTCCAAGCACTGGAGGGTGTGTTCTGCCTCCCTACTTGCAGCAAAGGGCTGCTTTTCCCTGGGCAGAGGCATGTGCGTGTCCTGCCCCTCTGAGCTGAGTTCCCCTGCTCTAGCCCTTGCCTTGCTGGGCCCTGGAGTTCCCTGGGTCACTCAGGGACAAGAGTGCTGGAGAAAACCTCAGTTTCTGCAGGGGCTTTTGCTGGTGGTGCAGGTCTGAGGGTGCTGCCAAGTGTCCTTCCCTGGGCCCCCACAACCCGTGGTGATGAGCTGGGTATTTCAGCCCTGTGTAAGAGCTTGGATGTGTTTTCTAGGTGTGACCCCAGCAGTCCATACATCCACCCAGTTGGATGGTGTCATGAGCATGGCAAACCCCTCACACCTCCTCAAGGTGAGTCAGTGGCCTGGGAGTGCATCCCTTGGGGACAGGCTTCTCAGGGTGGCATGGGGGTCCTGGGGGCACAAACCCCATTAGTCCTTGCTTATCTGCAAGCCCAGACAGTTTCCTTCAGCAAGGCCACAGCCAGGGAGGCAGCATGTACCTGCCAAGGCTCCTGTACACACATTCAGGTGCAGCATGGTGGTTGTGTTGGGCCAAGTCTCCCCACTCAGACACAAGGAGGACCCAAGCTGTCTGCACACCCAGATGTTTTCTGCTTCTTTATATCCTGGGTTTCATGGTCCATGAGAAAATAGTAGCACTTCTTGATGTCTCTCAGGTTCCTGTGGGCCTGGCACAGACTTGGTTGGCCCTTGAAGGCAGTGGGATGTTCTGAGGTACTTGCTGTTTTCCTGCAAGGGTGTCTCACCTTCTGCATCTTCCCTCTTCCAGATTATCCTGACCCTGACAACTTCACCTGGGAAAAGTACTTGAAGGAAACTGGAGCGTCTGCTGTCCCAGCTTGGGCCTTTAAAGTGGTGAGTGCCACATCATCTGCTTCACCCCACCTCAGCAGGAATTCGGGCTGTCTCCATTGCTAGGTCTTTTATGAGAAGTCCAGTTATGTTCCATGTGCTCCTGCCACAGGCCTGGGCTTTGGATCTACACTCAAGGTTCAGAAGTCAGGGCAAGTAGTGGAAAAAATGAGAAGTATGACATCCCTTTGGCTAGACAAAAGCTGGGTGATGGGAAATAATTTAGGTTTGTTTGATTAGTGTTTCTCTCCAACTGCACCACCAACAGCTGCGTCCAGCCAAATGTGGTTGCAATGTAGATCCCCAAAATGTGTCTCTTAGAGACCTTCTTCCCTGGGGCAGCTTCCCTATCTTGTTAAAACACAGCTCAGATTCAGGAGGCCTGTTCCCCACTCTCTCCTGTTGCTGCTGTGATCTGGGATGGCTTTTCCCCAGCCAGGCCAGGGCTTGAAAGTGGGATTGAGGAGCACACACTGCTGGGAAAGCTGCCAGGGGGTGCAGGAAGCCTGAAGAATGGCCCTGCTCCCTGCTGATCTGGGTTCTTCCAGCGCCCACCCCATGGCTTCCTGGTCAACATGAAGCTGGAGGCAGTGGACAGGAGGACTCCTTCCTTCATCCGAGTGGCCAGTGTGGAGGATGTGGAAGATCACAGGATAAAGGTGGGTGCTGGAGGATCAGTGCTGAGCCTGTGTCCAGGCACTGTGCTGGCTTGCTCCTGCCCTTCCCTGCTCACTGGGAGTGGAGGTCTGTCAAAGCCTACTGTGCAGAGGTTGACAGGTCTCAGTGACTGGCTCCAGGAGTAGAGAAGAGCCTTGTGTGCTGCAGTTCAGCTCTACCCTGCTGCTTGCTAGCAACTTGGAGAGCTCCAGAGCTCCTCAGGGACATGTCCTGCATTTTGAAGGGTGACCTCTCTGCTCGTTTTCCCAGATCCATTTTGATGGCTGGAGTCACATCTATGATTTCTGGATTGATGCGGATCATCCAGACATCCACCCCATAGGCTGGTGCTCAAAAACAGGACACCCACTGCAGCCTCCTCTCAGTAAGTCCTGCGCCTGTGTCAGTCCCCCATCGCAGGGCACGAACACGCCAGACCCCCAATGTCACTGCCTGCACAGAAATGGGAGGGCGGGTGCTGGACATGGATGGGCAGAGAGGAAGGACCTTTCCACAGATTTGTCAGTTGGAAAAGTCCTCCCTGTTTAGGGCAGGCAGGGAGCCGAGTGCCCTGTCTCTGCCTGGGCTTGCAGTCATGAAAGTCTCTCTCCTGTTTCTCCTCCTGGTCTAGGGCCAAAGGAACCAACCTCCTCTACTCATGCAGGCTGCCCAACCCTGGGCTGCAAGAGCATCCCTCACACCAAGAGTTCAAAGTACAGCTTTCACCACAGGTGAGCTCCCCAGCACAGCTCAGAGAGGTACAGCTTCCCTGCCAGTCCATGCCAGCTCTTTTTCTACCACCCCCACTAGCATCCACTCCTTCCCTGCACCCACCCCATGCCTGTCTCTGCCCCATGCTCTCCCCAGGCTTGGCCCCAAGGCAGCATGGAGCTCACAGCTGGTGTAACCCCCGTGATCCTCTCCTGTGCCTGTCCTGTGGCACCCAGAGCCCTCTGGGGTGCCCGATGTGCCCATCTAGTTGTGGGGACTTATAGACTTCAGAGAGGACCATGTCTGTAAGATGCTGTTCCCTGACACCAGCTGTGAGAACACTGTTCCTCCCATCCCTCATGGATGCCTTTCACTGTGAGGCTGAGCTGGGAAGTCCCAAGAAGGAACAGTGCATCTCCCCAGCTCAGGCAGTCACTTTTCCAGGGGATAACAGGCTCAGTCTAGTGCCAACCCGAGTGCTAGGCTGGCATCAGAAGGAGCCAGTATGGTGAATCATAGAATCATAGAATCAGCCAGGTTGGAAGGGACCTCTGAGATCGTCAAGTCCAACCCTTGATCCAACCCTGCCGTGGTTACTAGACCATGGCACTGATGCCACTCCATCCCTCCAGGGATGGAGAATCCACCACTTCCCTGGGCAGCCCATTCCAATGGCTGATTACCCTCTCTGTAAAGAATTTCTTCCTAATGTCTAACCTAAACCTCCCCTGGCAGAGCTTAAGACCCAGCCCTCTTGTCTTACTGATAGCTGCCTGGGAGAAGAGACCAACCCCCACATGACTACAAACTCCTCAGGGAGTTGTAGAGAGTAAGGAGGTCTCCCCTTGAGCCTCCTCTTCTCCAGGCTGAACAGCCCCAGCTCCCTCAGCCTCTCCTCATAGGACCTGTGCTCGAGTCCCTTCACCAGCCTTGTTGCTCTTCTCTGGACCTGCTCCAGCACCTTGACATCCTTCCTGAACTGAGGGCCCAGAGCTGGACACAGCACTCCAGGGGTGGCCTCACCAGTGCTGAGTACAGGGGAAGAATCACTGCCCTGGACCTGTTGGCCACACTGTTCCTGATCCAGGCCAGGATCCACTGGCCTTTTTGGCCACCTGGGCACACTCTGGCTCATGTTCAGCTTCCTGTCCATCCACACTCCCAGGTCCCTTTCTGCTTGGCTGCTCTCCAGCCACTCTGTCCCCAGCCCGTGGGGCTGCTGGGGGTTGTTGTGACCAAAGGGCAGGACCCGGCACTTGGCCTTGTTGAACCTCATCCCACTGGAATCAGCCCAACTCTCCAGCTTGTCCAGGTCCCTCTGCAGAGCCCTCCTGCCTTCCAGCTGATCGACACTCCCCCCCCATCTTAGTGTCATCTGCAAATTTGGTAATGGTGGACTCAATCCCCTCATCTAAATCCTCAGTAAAGATATTAAACAGAACTGGGCCCAACTCTGATCCCTGGGGGACACCACTGGTGACCGGATCCCAACTGGATGCATCACCATTCCCCACCACTCTCTGGGCCCGACCATCAGCCAGTTCCTAACCCAGCACAGGGTGCCCCTGTCCAAGCCGTGGGCTGCCAGCTTTTTCAGGAGTATGCTGTGGGAGTAGGCTTTGCTGAAGTCCAGACAGACACATCCACAACCTTCCCCTCATCCACCAGGCGGGTCACCTGATCATAAAAGGAGATCAGGTTGGTCAGACAGGACCTGCCCTTCCTAAACCCGTGCTGGCTGGGTCTGATCCCTTGTCCATCCTGTAGGTGCTGTGTGATTGCACTTAGGATGATCTGCTCCATAACCTTGCCAGGCACTGAGGTCAGACTGACAGGCCTGGAGTTTCCCGGGTCCTCCTTCCGGCCCTTTTTGTGGATGGGCGTGACATTCGCCAACTTCCAATCATCTGGGACCTTCCCAGTGAGCCAGGGCTGTTGGGAAATGATGGAGGGCGGCTTGGCGAGCTCTTCCACCAGCTCCCTCATCACCCTTGGGTGGATCCCATCTGGTCCCACAGACTTGTGAGGATCCAAGTGGCTTAGCAGGTCGCTGACTGTTCCCTCGTGGATTACAGGGGGCTATTCAGCTTCTTATCTCTGTCTACCAGCTCCAGAAGCCATCTGTCCTCAGGACAACCTGTCTTACTGTTGAAAGCTGAGGTAAAGAAGCTGTTAAATACCTCAGCCTTTTCTTCATCTTTGATAACTATATTCCCACCTATGTCCAACAAAGAATGCAGGTTTTCCTTGCCCCTCCTTTTGCTACTGATGTATCTGTAGAAAGACTTTTTGTTAGCCTTAACAGAAGTGGCAGTATCCATGAGGATGGGGAAGGCAGGTCTGTGATGTGAATCCTCATAACCTGCTTGTTCAGCACTCTGGTGACTTGCACAGGGTTATTGTGATGGCAAATGGACAAGTGCTTGTAACCTGGAGGGACTGGGTGTGCCCTACCTGGGCACCCAGTGCCCTCACCCCCAGAATTTGGTCAGCACCTTTACTCTGCTTTCCATGATCAGGGCTATGGCAGCCCATGCTTGGGGGCAGAAGGGTGGCCCTGCTGGTTGGTCCCCCCATGCTGCTCCAAGCTGGATCCAATGCTTGTCTCCCCTCTGTTCTCTAGGAAGTGCCCCACACCGGGCTGCGATGGGTCAGGACACGTGACGGGGAGATTCACGGCCCATTACTGCCTCTCAGGGTGCCCGCTGGCAGAGAAGAACCAGGGCAGGCTGAAGGCTGACTTGTCCGACACCGAGGCCTCAACTCGCAAGAGGAACCTGATGGGCTTCTCTCAACGAAAGAAGTCTCGGCACCACGGGAGGTAGGAGCACACCCAGTAAGCCGCATGCAGGGCCCCTGTGCCACCGCTACCTGCCATGGGAGGGATACCCCCAGCCAGAGAGGCTCCTTGGCCTTGGGGCAGCACGGTCGCTGGCAGCTGGCCTCGGTCCTTTCAGCTCTGTTGGGCACTTCTCTTGGTTTTTCTTCCCACATTTTCTGTCTTTAGCTGTCAACCCTTTGGGTGAGGGTCCAAGTGGTAATCCCTGCTCCCACTGCTGAGGCATTGCTCTGTGCGGTGTGGAGGAGGGCCCTTGGGCCAGTCCCAGCCCTGTTGGACATCAGTCTTCCTGTCTCTTTAGAGGGAGACCTCCAAAGTACCGGAAGATCCAGCAGGAAGACTTCCAGAGTAAGTGCCGTCTTCTGCCACAGTGTCATTGCAGGGCTGGCAGAGCTGGGGTGGTGGCTGCTGGGGGCAGGTCTCCCTTGGCTCACACAGGTCCATCCCAGTGAGGGGCTTGTGGTCGACTGCCAGACTTGATCATTGACAAGGAATGTTCCTGCCTCATACCAGAGCTCTGTTAGCTCCCTCAAGCATGGCTCTTGGATTATGTCTGCAAATCTTTGAGTGATCTAGGGCAGGGAATAAGGAAAGTACACTATGGCAGTGTACTTTCTGCAGTGCTTTGTCCTCTTCAGACAGGGATAATGGGATGCTGTGCCACAAAATTTCAGTGTGGTTGTGAAATGCCAAATTACTGCTGCTGCACAGAAACTGATGCTGAACAGTTTCCTTGGTCTTTAGTTCTGATGCCTGACAGAAGTCGATGCCTGACATTTACCCTAGTGCTAGGGGTGAATGAAAAAGAGCTTTTCTTGGGAGCCATCCTTGACTCCTTGGAGCAGAGAGCAAGTGAAAACCTTTGTTAAAAATGTGAAATGAACTGGATTATATGGGAAGGAATTCTGGTGTGAAAATTGATACGTAAACCTAGTTCAGTATAGAAAATGAATGATTGAAGGTGGTGAGAATAGGGCAAAACCAAGCTTGTCTCTAAACTTCTATCCCCAATCCCACCAAACAGAACATTAGGATACACTGATATCCTAGTAAATCATGGGACAACCTTGTAGGCTTGTAGGATATGATGGGATGTTCTCGTCCTTCTACCTCGTATCACATCTTGCATTTTTATCCCCAGCTATTTCTTCAGACAACATGCACCAGTCTCTCTTCATGTCCGCCCTGTCTGCCCACCCCGACCGTTCCCTGTCTCTGTGCTGGGAGCAGCACTGCAAGCTGCTGCCAGGGGTGGCTGGCATCACAGCAGCCATGGTGGCCAAGTGGACCATTGATGAGGTGAGATGGTTTGGAACTCTTCATGCTGGCCTCTGGTCCTCTGGCATGGCTGGGAGCACCTGCCTGGCTGTGCAGCACTACGGCAGATGCACCAGGCACGCAGGGGCTTCAGTGGTCACTCCCCTGGGCTAGTGAGGAGATGATCCACTGGACATGCTGGTGGGGGGCACGAGCTCTGAGGGCAGCTCCTGGGAAGCACATGCAGAACAACCAAGTTCTCACTTGAATATGATGCTTCCCCAGGCCCAGGGCAGGCAGGTGGAGACAAATAGCAGTCTCTTAATTTAGCACGTTACAATTTTCCAAAGTTTCACCTTTGCCAAGTTAAAAAATTAAAGCCCAGACTCTGCAGATAAGCAGTGCCTGTTTTGTCTGAAAGAGAAATCTTTACCTCAGATTCTTCATCATCACCTTCATTCACTTTCTTGGACATCTGTGATGGCCCCTCTTAAGGCCTGAGTAGCTGGAGGAGCTCTGGCAACAGGCCCAGCAGCCAGCCCTGCCTGATCTCAGGCACTGGAACAGGCTGCCCAGGGCAGAGGTGGAGTCACCATTCCTGGAAGTGTCCAGAAGCGGTGTGGATGTGGCACCTTGGGGACATGGGTTAGTGGTGGGCTTGGCAGTGCTGGGTTAATGGTTGGACTTGATGATCCCAGAGGGCTTTGCCAATCTTAACAATTCCCTGATTTTCCCATTAGCCCCTGTGTGCCCCTCTCCTTCCCCAGCCCCTCAGTGGGAATCCTCTCGCTGTGCTGGAGGTGCTTGTTGGAGATGAAGCTGCTGAAGCATTTGCTGTTCTGGGGCCGGGGGAGGCCAGTGTCTGTGGCTGGATCCAGGGCATGGGGGCTCTGGGCATGGGAGGATAAAGCAATTGCAGCCTTTGTCCCAACAGCCACATGGCACCTCAGAGGGCACAAAATGCCTCCGTAGCAGTGAGGGTGTGGGCTCAGGGGGCTCTCTAGCCAGAGCCATTGCTCTGTCTTGACATTTTTCTCCATTTACTCCAAGGTGTTTAGCTTTGTTCAGACTCTGACGGGTTGTGAGGACCAAGCCAAGCTCTTCAAGGATGAGGTGAGAAGGGCTGGAGGATGAGAGCAGGTGGCCAAGGACAGCTGTTTGCCAGCAGGGCTGGAAGGAATTGGCCAGTGGCCTTCCTGGAGTGGATTGCTGCTGGATGCTGAGGGTGCATCCAGAATGGGGCAGTGATCCCACCCTGCAGCTCCACTGCTCTGCACAGTGTGCAGCTGTCTGGCTGTGAAGATACGGAGCAGGAGGAGAGCTGTGCTGCCCTCTTCTCCCGGCAGGGGGAGGGAGGGGCCCACTGAGATTGGGATGGGGGAATGGGAGGACGATGGTGCTGCAACCTTAATAACACCATCACCTCCTGAGGGAAGCTGCTTCCTCCTCACCCTTTCATCTTCCCCCATCTGCACCCTCTCACCAGTACAGTGGTTGGGTGGCACTGCTGTTTGTCAACCAGAGTTGACGTTTTTTGCCCCCTCTGTGGCTCTGAAACTGAGGGTAAGCTGATGCTGGGCATGCTGGGGACACCCACTGTCCCAGCCTGTTTGTAAATGGCCCCTGTGCTTCAAGGGTGCTCAGGCAGGCAAAGCTGAGCTGGGGGCAGCCTCCAAGTGTGCCGGGACCTGGAGCAGGGAATGGATGTGTGTTTGCCTGATGTCTCTGTGCTGTGCCCTTTGGGCTCCAGTGCAGAATCCCAGCCTGGCTGCAGTGTGAGCTGCTGGGATGGCCCCTGGAAGGGCCTTTCCCCTTGTGCCCTGTTCCTGGGCACACAAGCTCCCAGCTGTGGTTTATCTGGGGCAGTGTGGGAGTGCTGTGGATGGCCCCTGCCCGGCTCTCTGGGCTCACCTCTTAGTGGTACTGTGCAGATTCTCAGGTCGTGCTTGTGCTGGCTGTCCCTAGGAATGCCAGCCTGGATTTTTGGTGAGTGCCTTTGTTCCTGCTCTCCTCCCCAGATGATCGATGGTGAGGCGTTCCTCTTGCTGACGCAGGCTGACATAGTCAAGATTATGAGTGTCAAGCTGGGCCCAGCACTCAAGATCTACAATGCCATCCTCATGTTCAAGAACGCTGATGACACCTTAAAGTGACTTTTCTTGGCCCGATCAGGACCCTCCCTCAGCATTGGTGCTGCCAAACTGTCTGGTCAGGACAGAGATCCCCCCAACCGACCACAGCTTGTCATGTCCTGCTCATGTCCTTTCAGATGCCACATGTCTGCTCTCTTACCACTCCCTCTCCCATCTTCTTCCCTCCACACTGCCCTTTTCTTCCAGTGCTGGGTACAGGCTGACCCCAGGCCTCAGAGGTGGCTGCAGGGATGGAGGGTGGACATGGGACTGGCCTATCTGAGCACCACAGATGCCCCCATGTCTTGCTGTGACTGCACTGGTTCAGAAGGTGTTGAGGGATGAGGGACCACTGTGGAGGGTGTAACAGCTGGGGACTGAAACCACTACGCCACTCACCCAGACATGGGAAGGGACTGACTGCCTGTGTCTGTGCTCGCAACCATTGAAGGGCTGTTCTTGCCTTTGCTCAGCAGCTGAGAGAGATTTGGTTTTTTTCCCTTACTATGATCCTGTGGCGGGGCTTGTGCTGACACCATTCCCAAGGGACACTCCCAAGGAGCTTCTCCTCATTTTGCCTTTTTTTCTGAATTCTTTTGACTTTTTAAGGCCAGATGATGACTTTGCTTTGCCCCTTCGCTGCACTGGAAACCAGCGGCCACCTCTTGCCCCTTCAGGAATCAGGTGTCCTGGCTACTGCTCTGCCCACGACCAGCGCCTGTGCTCTGTTCTTCTTTCCTGTAATGCAGCAGCCTTAGGGCCCTGTGGGGCCAGGGCTGGCTGGGGGCAGAACAGGCTCTGTTTCTTCTTGAGCTTCAGACTGTTTTGTCCAGCACTTCTCCAGGAGAAAGGATGCTTGGATAACTTGTTCCCCTCACAGCAATTAAACTTTGGTCCATGTATTAGGAGCAAGGCGCTCTAGAGTGGAGGCAGCTGCCAAGGACAAGATGCATCCATTGCTCCATAGGCAGATCCACAGTCACCTCTGAAGGTGTTCCTGAGTTGACTGACTCAATCCTGCCAAACTGCCTTCTCCCCATTTTTTACCCTCACAAGGCACCCAGGTTTTGCTGTCTGAAGAGCCAGATCCTCTGCTGTTCCTGGACCAAGAGGGCTAAGGCTGCAAAGCCAGGAAAGCCAACATGCCTGGGAGTCCTCAGAGAGTCCCTGTGCCTCCTGGCAGCACCCATGCTGCTCTCCATGGTCCATCATCCTGTGTGTGCCCACTCTGGGAGCTGTTGGAGCAGTGCAGTGCTGGAGGATGGCCACTTGCCCACGGGCTCTCCATAGTCTGCAGCAATGTGATCCCAGTCCCATGTTCACTTTCTTTTCCATTCCTAAGAATGACATATCAGTAGCAAAACAATCTCCCCCTTTCCCAGTGCTCAAAGACAGGGATGAAGAGATGTGAGCAAGCGTACCAGCAAGATGTCCTGGAGCAGCACTGCCTTGAGAGCCGCTGTCACCCCTGGGTCAACCTGTTCAAGGCTTCCAATGGAAATGTAGCATTTTGACTCTGTGTTATTGAATATTTGGGGTCACACTTGACGTGCTCTTGAAACGTCTGCCATTTACTCTTCATGCAGGACTTGCATGGTCCATGTCTTTGTTTTGTCAAGGCTTGGGTTTGATTTAGGCAGCTTTCCCTCTCTTTTCCCTGTGGTCGATTGGGGGGATCTTTCCATCTCTTCAAGCACTGCAGTGTGGCAAACTGTGGAGAGAGGGAGTGGTAAGGAACAACTGTGCCCCTGGTTCCCACAGTCGCTCTCCACAACACCCTTGGTCTGCAGTAATGGTCCTTAAGTTGGTCTCTTCATTTGATGGAGAGTCTCTTTCTGGGCCACTGTGTGCTGGGGAAGAAGAGGAGGAGCCCTGGGACCTTCAGCTGTAAGACTGCAAATGATGCTGAGACCTCTCCAGATGTGATCAGGCACAAAAAGGCACTGGACATGGCTATTAAGTTTACAAGGAGATGTCTTATGAAAGCATCCCGTTTTCATCTTCTCCATTCCCATGTGTGAAGTTATTCCTTCTGTTGGGGAAGGGACTTAGCACCGTCCCAGGGTGCTGGAGAGGAGCTGCTACCCAGGCATCAGATCTGAAACTAGACTGAAGGATGAAGAGCCTTGTGTCTCACAGGGCTGCCTGGGAGAGCAGAGGTGGTGAGAAGCTTAGAAGGTCCTGATGAAGGGGAATAGGAGGTATGAGCTAAGCCCTGGCTGGACCACAAGTCTGGGTACAACCAGCACCACTGGCTCTTGCTCTGCTGTCAGGTGCAATCAAGCCATGCTCTGCCTGGGCCCCAGCAAAACAGGTAGAACTGCATCTCCACACTGTGCCAACCATGGCACTGCCTGACCTGGGCTCGAGAGCAAACACAAACTGAACAGGACTGCCAGGGTGCTGCCCCTTGGCTGGGGGGGTCTGGGTGCACAGCTGGAGCCCAGGTCTCCACTGAGTCTGAGCTCTGCACAGGGAGCAGCTGTCAGGAACACCAGCCCCACAAGAAGTGAGATGAGAGATCTGAGGGTCTGTGTCACACACCTGCAGAATCAAGCATCACTTCATCAGCCTCTCAGGCTCTCGGCCATTGGGGTACAAAGCTGCTGGATTATCTGGGTGAAGGAGTTACAGGGTTTGTAGGTGGTCAAGGGCTATTTACTGTTATAACCTTCTCCTGTCCTTTAAAACTAAACCCAAAGGATCGTGTGTGTACATGTGGATGGGTGTTTGTGGGACTACCATGACACCATTCCCCCGCTGTTGGTGTGTCACTCTTTCAGGGTGGTGGTCTCTGTGGCTGTGAAGGCAGCAGATGCCTGTCACAGGATCTCAGGTGATGTGTCCTCCATGAGCAGTTGTCCCTGGTCCAGCAAGGAAGCCAGAAGAAGGAAGGTTTGCTGTACCCCGGGCCTTGGCAAGTCCTCCATCCCCACAGAGCATTGAGTGGGAGTCCCCCATCAGGAACCATCAAGGACAGCTGTGACCAAGGCAGAAGCACCAAAGTTTTTTGTTCTTCCCCTGTTGCCAGACCAGATTGCTCACAGGGATGTTCACTACTGTGTCACTAAGAAGCCAGAGAGGAAAGTGGGGCTGGGTTTGGCCCACAAGTTCCTCTCTGGGACCTTTCTGAGAGATGTGACTGCAGCCAAAATTTCTAAGTCAATGAAGAGTTTTTGAAGTCAAATGTTTTTTTTGACTGGAGGCCCCCAAGCCTATGTTTCTGCCATTCCTGCCCCTGCAACTGGTGTTGGCAGGGCTTAGCTGGAGCCATGGGAGAGGTCCCACCAAATGCATCAGCCTCAGGCATGGGGTGTCTTCTGTGGGGGCTGATCTGGGGCTGACTCTGGGTGCATGGGAGCAGTTGGAGCCTCTTGGAAAGGTGTTTCTCCCTCCTCATGGAAATAGGCAGCATTGGGGCACTGCGAGCCAAGGTCTCTGTTTCCATGAGAGCAGCCAGCCTGAAGCTCAGCAGGCTGAAGCTTTGTGCCTGCCCTGCCAGAGCACGGCTGCCCACCCCTGCCTTCCTCTGCTGATTTCCATGGCGATCACTAGCACTTTTAGAAAAGAAAAAACCCCTCCAAATTGTCCAGGAGGGTTGAGGGCTTAGGGCAGCTGCTGTCTGCAGAGGCATACCTGGGGCCATGAGTGCAATGAGGGCATTGGAGAAGAGGAGGGAGCTGAGAAAGGGATGTGACTTGGCCAGTCCTGTTCCTCACTCCTCAGCCTCCAGGAGAGAACTCCTCAGGTGCGCATAGGGAAAGACAAGAGGGCTGCAGCCAGGCTCCCTTCTTCCAGCCCAGACTTTCCCTTGGGGGCCTGAGCTTTCCTTGTCCTTGAAGGGGAAAATGGGGAGCATATTGTGGAAAGAGTGTGATTATGATAACAAAAGCTTTTTGCACTTTCATTCATTTTGCACTCTTTTTTAATTTTTTTTTCCGCATTTTTTATATTGGCGCCTCTTTTCCGTGTTTTCATAACAAAAATCCTTTTGTTGTAGCCAGTGCAGCTATCCTAGAACTGTGTGTCCTGAGCGTACAGAGTTTTAAAGGCCCTATATATATAAATTTATAGTGGTGCAAAAGTAAATTTATATATATAGATGAGGATGTGATGTGTTTCGTCGGTGTTTTAAAATAATAAACGAATGTAAGCAATGGAGGCCTGTGCACTGGGAGCAGTCACTGCGCCACAAGAGCGGTCACTGTGCTCACGAGAGTGGTCACTGTACCATGGCAGTGGTCACTGTGCCACAGGAGTGGTCACTGCGCAGGAGCGGTCACTGCGTGGCCAGGGTGGTCATTGTGTGGCAGGAGACGTCAATGGAGTGGTCACTGTGCAGACGGAGGGGTCAGCGCAGAGGGAGAGGTCAGTGCAGCGGTCACTGCAGGACCGGAATGGTCACTGCGCGTGGGAGCGCAGACCCCGCCCCCCGCACAAGCCCCGCCCCTCCACAGTCATGGGTCCCGCCCACTCCCGAAGCCCCGCCCTTCTGCGTGTTCCGCCGGGTCCCGCCCCTCGCCCGTCCTGCGGGGATCCCCGAGCGGTCAGGGACAGGCACAAAGACAGGGACAAGGGACGGGGGCAGGGACAGAGACAGCGACAGGAACGGTTTATTTATCCCACCGCGAGGGGCGGGAAGGGAATCCCGGTGTTCCCGCACTGGTCGCAGTCAGGGGGAGCGCTGCCTGCGGGGAGAGGGTGGGCCCTCCCGCCCCGGCAGCAGCGGCTTCGCGTGGCTTCAGCCGTAATGAGCCCCAGCAGGACCAGTAGCCCGGCCCCCAGCGCCAGGCGCACTGCGTTGCACAACGTGTAATCTGCAGGGGACAGGAAGGGACGGTCACTGGGAGCCCCTGGGAGGAGTCCCCCAGGAGATCCCAGACCAAAGGTATCCTCCAAGGGGATTTACAGGGCACTGAGGGCAAAGAGACACAAGGATAAGGGGACGCACTCGGGAGTTCTTGGGCTAAAGAGAGATAAAGGGAAGTTCACAGGGAGCAAAGGGAGCCCCATGGGCTCCTGTCAGCTTCACCTCCCACATCCCTGCCTCCTGGAACACCCTCTACTCATAGCCTCTCACCTGTCACCCCACCCAGTGGCACCAAAGGAACACTGAGGTGGCTCTCAGCTGCTCCTGCCAGCCAGACGGTGCCACTGAGCTGTGACAAGACATGTGATTGTCCCCGGGGCTGGTAGGTGCAGGGACAGTGTCCACTGACTCTTATCCCCAACTGTCAGCCTAGTGACCTTGTGTCTATAGGGTCTGTAGGTCATCTGTAGGGTCTCTGGGAGTTGGCCAGGCTCAAACAGCTGAAGGAAGCTGAAATCCTCTGCTTGGATCCCTCTTACAGCTGCTTTCCTCTTTTCTAGTTCCCCCAGGATGTGACAGATTGCAAGGAGGAAGAGAAAAGTAGGATGTGGCTGGGGGGATGTCTCACCTCTCACCACCAAATCCAGGGTCTTGCTGACAGCAGACCATTCTATCGAAGCATTCTTGGTGAAACACTGGCAGCTGTAGCGGCCCCCCTCACCTTTCTGCACATGGGAGAAGTTGTAGTCATCTTGTTCCCTTGAGAGTACTTGGGCTCGGATCTGGCCCTCCAGGTACAGAAAACAGCCAGTACTGCGGTGTGGGGGGGTGCAACGGAATATCACATGAGTTCCTGCAGTCACCTCATGCCCAGGCAGGACAGAGATATCGGGTCCAGGGAGACGGATCCCTGGGGGGACAGGAGAGGGCTTGAGAAGACATACAGGGCTTTGACATGGTGCCAGGAGCCACCAAGATCTCCATAAACCCATCAAAAGGCTTAGACGAAGGTGAAGATAGTCCCCACCTCTCCAAGCCAGGGAAGAAGAGAAAACCCCTGCCCATCATATGGATAGGGAAGCCAAGTGTCTGCATGCATCCCAGTCTGCACCTAGGGCATGTGACCCTGCAAGAAGGGGTAACAGCACGTCTCTTACCTGTCACCGTGACATCCAGGCCATCGCTGCGAGCCAGCACAGTGCCTCCCTCCAGGTAATGGCAGTTGTAGGTACCTGTATCCTTGTAGGTGGCATTAGAGATGGAGAACTCGGCCCTGCTGCCACTCTGCTCCAGGGTACGGAGCTGGTGGCCATCTTTGTACAGCATGAAGTTCCCATTGCCATGCTGGCAGCTGCAGCAGATGGTGGTGGAGCCTCCTGGTGGGATCACCCCAGGTGGCTTCAGGAAGATGGAGATTGTTGGGGCACCTGCACAGGGAGAGAGAGATGCTGCCAGACAGACAGGGAGCCCCTAGCAGCTGCCCTGACATGAGCCTGGGGCTGCCTCTGGGCACAATCTCCACACAAGGGTGAGTTTTGTTCCATGGGGCTGCAGAACTGCCCTGGGAGATGGGTGGGGACCAGAGATGAGTCCAAACTCCCCAACTACCTCCTCAAGATACTCACTCGGTGTAGCCTTGCTCTGTGCCACCAGCCAAGCACCTGCAAGAGAAGCAGCTGTGTAAAATCTCTGAACTCTCTGGATGCTTCCTGCCACCCTCTGGGACCCTGCACAACCTCTGGCACTCACCAAAGGCCAACACATGGGTCACAGGCAGCATTGTATTCCTCTTGGCTCCCTCAGTACTTGACTCAGCAGGGCTTCTTCAGAGGAAGGCGCTGGCTAGGAGGCACTGAGCAGCTGGGTGGCTTCTTGTGGGTCCTGATATGACCTCGTTGTCACAACCCACCTTCTGTCCCACAGCTTTGGTTTCTGCAAACACAAATGCAGGGCTGGGATGGTTGAACTGGAACCACAATGTCCTAGTCACATGCCCAGGTCTGGGCCCCTGTGATGACTTGGTCTTAGGATCCTGCAGACCCTGGCAGAAAAGCCCTCAGGACTTTTTGTTTCTCTTTCTTAGTTCCGGTCACTTGGTGGGGAAATGTCTTCTTTCTGCCTTGTGAAATAGGGAGTTGTTTTGCAACTGCAAAACCACAGGCTTGGTGGCTCAACAGAATGGAATAGGACGGAAGGAACTTGGCTTCCCTTTTGGCCTTCTCAGGGGCTGTTTTGTTCCCCCGGCCTGCAGTGGGGGGCCCTTGGAGGAGGGACAGCAATACCTCCAACCTGTAGGTCTGGATGCACCTTTCAGGATTGGTCTCAATCCCCATCCACCCAGGCTTCCTCATTCCCACACTGGAGCAATGGAACATCCTTACTCCACATCGCTGCTCCCTCCCACCCCCCCTGGAGCCAGACCTCCAACCTCAGCTGCATCTTGACTGGGCTGGCCAGGGATGTAGACAGAGCTCCCTTTGGCTATAATGTAGGTCTGATTAAACAGGGGAAGTCACATCTCCAGGTGATGTGGGAGCAGGGAATGGATGGATTGTGGCACTGGAGTTGTGTGGGACATGTGGCAGCTTGTCCAGTGGTCCTGCTCTGAGGGCTGCAGCGTCTGTAGCTCTCTGTCCTCCTGTGAGCTGCAGGCAGCATGTTCTGCCCCCTCTGTGTGTGCAACCTCTGCCACAGTTGGCCACAGCAGGAAAAGTTGGGAAGGACTCCAGGCTGGGCAGGTGGGGTTTATATGGGTGTAACCCAGAGGGGAAAGGCAAAGTGGCCGCTGGACTTCTCCAGAACCCCTGTGGTCCCTCCTAGACCCTCTCCACCCTTTGCTTTCTTCACCCTTCAGCCCTTTCGGTCTCCCTTGGAGATATCATGGGCTAGGAGAAGTTTTGGCAGCAGGGTGCCCTATGGCCTCCTCCTGTTCTGGGCACCTCCTCTGGCCCCGTCTCCTGACTAACCCCCTTTTGCCTCCCCCAGGCTCGACTGATTCTTGGCACCTCCTTGGAGAGCCTCCCTTCAGGCCCATTCACCTCCACAGCCTCCACTGGCCACAACAAACTGCTCTGGTTTTACCAGAGCCCAGAGGAGAACGACCCCTGGCCCACCCTGCAGGCTCTGCCCTGGCTCTCTCCATTCAGGATGAAGTTGGTGGCATTGCCATGGGGCTCATTCATGGGCATATTGGACTCCTTGGCTGGAGACCAGCCTCTGGGTGCACATCCAGGGCATGGGACCATGGAAAGGGCTTCCCCCTCTGTCACCACTGTTAGCAGTTACTGCATCCAGCAGCCTGAGGAAGACAAGGCTGCCACAGCTCCAAGCCCCCAGGTCCAACCAATTGTGGAGCCATCATAGGACACATAGGGATACACATAGATACGGCCAACCTCACAAATCCATACAGGCACACACCCCCTCACACAAACAGCACCAACAGCCTCATCCCGCTGAGCAGGATGTGCCCCTTATTGTTCCCCTTGAGGCACATTTGAGCTTAAATATAAAAGGCTTTAATGAACAATGTATTGTCCGAGTCCTACTACCATGAAGCACTTCACTTCACACCACTGTGGTCAGGAGTAAGGGGACAGAAGGAAGAGCTGAGGAGGTTTCCTTTGAGAGATATCCCCCTGAAATCTGTCCTACACTCCCCCTAAAGCAGCATGTCCTACAGGTTACTTTTTCACACATACCAAGTGGTTTCCATGTCTTTATGGTCTTCATACAGCCTGTGGTCTGCAGTCCAAATAGCCTGGGGTCCCTCTCCCTTCCAGCCTTGTCCTGAACACTGATGTCCCCCAAGAAACCTGTGGACACTCACTGGTGTGCTGCCCTGCTGGAGCAGCCAACACCCTGTAGTGGCACGGTAAGTGACAGATGAATGGATGGATGGATGGATGGATGGAGAGGGTCTGTGAGACCCTGGTCTGAGATAGTTGCCCTCCACAATCACACAGCCTCTTCCTATATCTTCCTGGATGAATGTCTGGCTCCCATATGTGGCCCTCAGGTACGTCTTGGTTCCTCCACACCCTTAACATATGTATTGTCCTTCAGTTCTCACCTGGACACATGTCCTGGTCCTATCTCACCCTTAGAAACCCCCGTGGATGGCGACAGAACCAGTTCTGTGCCCAGCTGAGTCCACAACTTGGATCCTTGCTGGCCCTCAGGCCCTCATCAGGCCCTCTGTCCCTGACCGCCCCAGGCTCAGGAACTCTGCAGGACAGGGACAGCCCACATCTTTCATTCCCCAGTGCCAATGCCCCTAGAGATATCTTTATCAGTGCCCTCCATGTCCTCAGCTCCTCCCATTCCTTCCGTCCCCGGCTGTGTGTGCAGCGGGGAATCGAAACTGTTGAGCCGGGAGGCGGGGCCAGTGCCAGGAAGCGAGAGGCGGACCGGCACAGTGGATATACGGCAGCGGCGCGGGGCACTGGCACCAGGCAGCGGCACCGGGACAGTGGATATACGGCAGCGGCACCGGGGACTGGCACCAGGCAGTGGCACTGGGCAGCGGCACCGGGACAGTGGATGTACAGCAGCGGCACCGGGCGTCCCTCATGGCCCTCAGGCAGCCAAAGGCGTGAGTGGGTCTGGGGCTTGTCACTGGGGTTTCACTGGGTGGTTGTGGGGGAACAAGGGGTGGCTGGAGCGTTGCAGGGGTCGCGGGGGGCTGTTGGTGAGACCCGGAGCTCAGGGAAAAGATGGGGTCCTTGACTCCAAGGAAGGGGACATCTGGGGGATTCAAGGAGGACATAGGGTCTTGGTTACGCACCCTCCTCCACACTCTTTCCCCTTCTCTCTGCTTTACAGGGAGACTTTCTGCCAGCGGGCACCCATCTTCCTTGATTACCTGCACAGCATCCTGCAGAAGTACCCAGATGGGGGGCAGATCCTCAAGGTGAGACTCCCAAGGAATCCACCTATCCAGACTCTCCTGCCCAGCTGGGCAGACCAACCCAGGCAGTGGGGGGGTTCCCAGCTAGAGAGGATCGGTGCTTTTCTCATGGGCCTGGGACAGCCCAGGTGACCAGGCACTCATTGTTAATTCCAGGAGCTGGTGCAGAATGCGGATGATGCTGGCGCTAAAGAGGTCGTGTTTGTGTCCGATGAGCGGGAATTCAACATCACCAGAGGGGGACTGGAGGGCACCCAGGGTGAGAGGTGGTATGGGCACTGGGAGAGACCGCATGAAGCACTGGGGTGGCACTGGGACGGACTGGGTGATACTGGTGAAGAGTTGAAGAATAATCAGGGAACTGGGGGAACTGGAGCTCATGAGGTGTTTTGGGATGTTCTGAGGTCACTGAGGGTACTGGGAGGACTCAGTGGTACTGAGGAGCGTTTCGTGGGACTGAGATTGTGGGAACACTGAGTCTGAGTCACAGAGACCCCTACATGTCCCAGTTCTCCCCTAACTCACAGTCCTGGTCACCAGGCCCAGCTCTCCTGGCCTACAATGATGCTGTGATGTCACCTCAGGACTGGACAGGGATTCAGCGCCCAGGGGTGTCGCACAAGCGGGAGGATCCCCACACTGTGGGGCGCTTCGGCTTGGGCTTCACTTCTGTCTACCACCTCACCGGTGAGTAGCACTGGAAACCTCAACTGCAATTGAACTGGGGACATGGGTTTTACTGGAGGCTCTGAACTATAGGAGCGGGGGAGAAGTGGGGGGCAGTGAGGTATGCAAAATGGAGGGCAGTGTGAAGTGAGGAAACCTGAAGCACCAGGAGGCTGAAGGGAGGCTAGGTGGCAGTGGAGGGCAGAGCAACAGTGGCAAATGGAGGGAGGGCTGATGAATTGGGATTAGGCTTTGGATCATGGGAAGCACTGTGGAGATGAACTTGAGAGTATTAGATGGGCATTTGGGGTACTGATGGGTTAGGATGATCTGGGGAGGCAGTGGTGTCCATGTCATCCCTGTGAAGGCCTCATGGTTCCCATGTCTCCAGACCTGCCAGGTGTCTTGAGCCCCCCATACTTGGGGGTGCTGGACCCCGAATGCCAGGTGCTGCCAGGTGCTGGCAAGCGCTGGGACATCTCTGCAGCCCAGGACTTTCCCGGCCTTTTCGAGCCCTTCTGGGCTGGACTGGAAGCTGTGGGACAACACCGTGCCTCTGCCCGGGGCACCCTCTTCCGCTTTCCCCTTCGCCGGCAACCCTCAGAAATCGCTGCAGGGGTCTCCGATTCTGAGCGCATTCGCAGCCTCCTCCAGACCTTCCTCACTGAGGGCCCTCTTGCCCTCCTCTTCCTCCGCCATGTCCGCCGTGTGGCCCTGCACCGTGTGGCCCCTGATGGGGTCCAGACACTCATGGGGACTCTTGTGGCATCCCCTCAGCCTCTCCCTGTCCCAGTGCCATCAGGGGATGAGGGGCTGAGTCTGGCATGGTGCCTGGTGGCCCTGCATAGGAATGGGGTGGGTGACATGAGCGAGTGGCTGGTAGCCACAGGCAGGGCCACAGAGGGGCCGATCATGGCACTGGGCACAGGGCTAGGGTGCTGCCCAGAGCTGAGCCTGGCACACCCACTCCACGGGCCCTGCCAAGGGCGGCTCTGCTGCTTCCTGCCCCTGCCAGCCACTGACGAGACGGCCACGGGGCTGCCCGTCCATGTCAGTGCTCCCTTTGCCCTCTCTGATGACCGCCGCCACCTCCGCTGGCCTGAGCAGGGTGAGAAGGGTGAGGAAGATGCCTGCTGGAATGCCCTGTTGCTGCTTGACCTCCTGCCCCGGGTCTACAGCCACTTGGCCGCTGTGGCCATGGCTCTGCCCGGTGCAGATGTCTACAGCATCTGGCCAGACCCCGAGTGCATGCCAAGCTCTGGCCGGATCTGCAGCCTGGTGACCCGCGTCTGCCAGGAACTGGCAGCTGCCCCTCTCCTGGTGCCAGCTGCAGAGGGGGTGGCAGGGCATCTGCGAGCGCCTGAGGCCGTGCTGCTGCCGGAGGCTCTGGGAGACGTGGCTGCACAGAAGGCAGTCCGGGCCTTGCTGGTGGCAGCTGGGGAGCCATTGGCTGAGGTCCCGGCCCACGTGTGGAGGGCGCTGGCTTTGGGGATGCCGAAGGGCGTGCGGGAGGCCACAGCAGGACACATGCGGGAGGTGCTGCGGCGCCATGGGACCATCGACCTCCCAGCTGCCGACCGTCTCTCCCTGCTGCGTTACGTGGCCGGGGATGGGTGCCATGCTGAGCTCCGGGGTCTCCCCCTCCTGCCTCGCGCTGATGGAACCTTCGTGGCCTTTGGAACTGCGTCAGCCATTGTCTATGTGGACACATCCGACTGCCCCAGGTGAGCCCGCAGCCCCTGGCAGCCCCATTCCCTGTGGAGTGGACAGGAGGACCAGTTGCCCAGAGATGCAGCTCCCACTCTTGAGCTGGAAAGGGGGATCACAGCTGAACCTGGACATTTGGGATCCTCACTGCCCTCCTCTCACCTGGTGTCACCAAGTGGGAGCTGAAGCAGGTGTCCAGGAAGCTACCTGCCCCCATTACCCCTCTAGTCCCCCCAGCACCACTCTTTGTCCCCGCAGGGAGCTCCTGCCTGGCCTGATGGGGTCCTTCCTGCCTTCAGACCTGGAGCTGGGCTTGGACAGCCTCCTGCGAGGCATTGCCAAGACAGGTAAGAGAGGGGGGGTCCCTGGACTATCTTCTGGTCCCCTGGTTGCCATCTAAACACCAACACCACCAGCCCCTCGTATAGCCTGGGGCTCCTCTGCAGCCCCAGTATTTCCCAGTACCTCCCTGTGTCTCTGGGGACTCCACTGTCCTTGCTGTTCTTCCCACATTCCCCTGTCCCCCCTGTGCTCCCTTGGATTCTGGGTCTCTTTGTGTTTCTCATCTGAAGACCAGTGCCCCCTAATACTGGTCCCCCTAACACCTCTTTTCCCTCTCAGATCTCCTCTATCTCCACCAGTCTGGGGTTTTACTGTCCTCTGATTCAGGGTATCCACTATCCCTCCAGAACCCAGGTCCTCCCATCTCCAGTATGGGGGGCCACCCATCCCCTACAGATCTCAGGCTCTTTCCCCCACATCCTGGGTCCCCCTGTCAGGTCCCAGGTCCCATGTGCTTCTAGTCCAGCCTCTGC